GGACCAATGATGAAGAAACACCACTGACGAGGGTGGAAAAGGGTGTAACTGGGGCTGGAGTTGTAGCTCAGGAGCAGAGCACTTACCTGTCAGGCGTGAGGACCTGGGCTCAATCCCCAGCACTGCCAACAAATTAAACGTCTGTGACTTCTATCTTGTTAGCACTGTCTGTTGCTCTCACATTTGTTCACCCTGTTGAAGTCCAGTGCTCTGAGGAGACAGTCATATGGCAAGGAACTGAAGGAGGGCTCAGCCCATGGTTCCTAAGGAGCCAATGCCTCTGTCTAGCAAGCTTGAGGAACAGTGTGAATGAGCTGGGAATTTGCTCCTTCCCAGTTGAGCCTTGAGATGATTTCCACCTTGTAAGAACTCGGAGCCAGAGACCCTGTGGAGACACACCTGAAGTCCTGATCCACAGAAACTGAGTTAGCCAGTGTTTCCAGCCACTAAATGTTGCAGTAATTTGTCACACTGCAACAGATACTGCTGCATGCACACTGAGGGCAGGGAGGTGCATTTCTAGATGGGTCTCTTTCCTATAGAAAGTGATTCTYGCTCGGGCTCTCATTTCTTTCTTGAATCTTCCTGATTCCATTTGTGATTGCCAGTGATTTCACATCATTTGAAATGTGTGGATTTTCTTTCTCAGTGTCATTGAAAATAAAGCTCTTAGCCAGGCATGGTGGCACATGCCTTAATCCCAGCGGCCCAGGAGACTGAGGCAAGAGAATCCCAAGTTCAAAGCTAGCCTCAGCAATTCAGCAAGGATCTAAGTAACTTAGTGAGACCCTATCTCAAAATTAAAATAAAAAGGACTGAGGATGTGGCTCATTAGAAAGCACCCCTGGGTTCAATCCCAGGTACTAAAAAAAAAAAAGAAAAGAAAGCTTTCAGAATATCTTTCAACTTTATTCTTGCTCTTATGTGATTATGAGAAACTACTGATTTATGGAGCTGTATTTGTCACAAAAACTTGTTTTAATTTGCACTTCTCCCATAGTTGGCTTTCTATATTTTCTTCCATATGTAGGACCTATTTAAGTACCTACCATCTGGATTCTCTATGGACATGCTTATTTATTTCACTTCTTTTATTGAATCCTACTGTACTCTTATCTACATCAACACCACACTTTTAAATACTATAACACTAAATTATTTCAGTTCTATCACTTACTAGCCCTGACCTCAGTAAACCTGTCTCCACTTTGCCGGGACATTTTAAGAATTAAGCATATAAAAGACGTAAGTTAATGAATATTCTAGCCTCATCCTCCAATAGGCATTCAGTAAATAATAGTATTAATATCATCATCATACTTTTTAATGAAGCTGGACTATGAGCAAGAATTAATAATAATAATAACAATGACAACCAGGTATTTTAAAAATATAATAAACCTTGTTTCTCTTTTATTTTTTACTGTATGTTCAGGCTCCAACAGAACTTGCCCATGTGGGAGGTCATTCAGATCCTGGGCTAATGATGTGAGAAGCAGAAGGAACAAAGTGTAGCTCATGTGGGGCTTTGGAAAGAGAGACTAAGCCAGCAACAAAGAGGAGAACTGGCACCTCACGTAGAGTTTGATATGAAGGACCTAATAGCCTGTCATTCACAGTTGCTTAGCAACGTGCAAATGTRTAAGAAAGAAGGAAGCCAAAAACACCACAAAATTGGGCACTCACGCTCACTCCCACATTTATTATTTCTCCATTGTGCATAAGTCAAATACAAACTGAATGTAAGTTTGTCTCCCAGAAAATAAGCCAAGCACTCAGTGAAGTGATTGTGGCTTAAACAGGCAAGCAAAAGTAGCAGGAAGTCAGAGATAAATGTACAGACAAAAGTATACACGCTTACAGCTAGATTCCAGGTGCAACAGAGCTATTCTGCTTAATGCAGCAAGTACCTAGAAATGCAGCAGAGGATGCATAGAAGAGTAGGAGTCAACCCTTGTGTTTAAGTAAAGTTTAACATCTCCTAGGGAGGAGAAGACAAGAGTGCAGATAGCAGCACCATCATGCAGAATTCAGGTCACCACTGAGAAATACCATCTTATATGGCCTCAAAGATGGGAGGGATCAAAGCTCAAGGAACATCCAAAAATGCTTCACTGCAGAGGTACCACGTGAATTTTTGAAGTTCAATAGAAAGAAAAGCTAAATAGAATTTTGACAGGTACATCTGGGGATAAAAGACCACTTTTCACAGTGCCAAGGAGGAAGTTCCAGGTATGTTTGTGATAATGATAATCCAAATTCACCAAAATGTAGGATTCTACTAAAATGGAAACAGTGAAGGATAGAATCGTTGCCAGGTTGTATATGTCCTTGAATGCCAAGTTTATAGCCCTGAGTCTCATTTAGTGGTTATTGAGAGGTGATTAGGGTATAGCAGAAATGATCACATGCTACACCTTCAGGAGATTAATCTAATAATGGTGATTATCTTAGTCATTTGTATTCCTATAACAAAATACTTGACACTTGGTATTATAAAGAAAGGGGGTTTATTTGGCTTACAAATCTAATGACTGGAGTGTCCCCACAGCATGGCACCAATGTTGGGTGATGGCCTCTGGTTGCATCTCAACATGGCGGAGAAGCTAAAAAGGAAACGGGCCACAGGCAAAGAGGACCAAGCACATGGGCAGCCTGACTTTATAGCCACATGCTCCCGTGAGAACTAAACTAATCCTGGGAAAATTACATTAGTCCTTTTCAAGAGTGGTGCATCTATGACCTGATCACCTTCCACTAGGCCCCGCCTCTTACAGATCCATCACCTCTGGATGCCTTTGCCCTGGGGACCAAGCTTCTAGCACGTGAGCCTCTGAGGGGCAAACCACATATCTAACTCATAGCTGTAATTTTTATTTGGAGAAAAAATGTCATAGAGCAAGCAATGAAGAAGAAACCTAAAGTCCAGATGAGAAAGGAGTGTTGTTTAATCTAAAAAGGGAGCCACAGCAGAAGGGAATAGCTAATGGAGACAGCACRGAGGCAAAAACTGAAGGCAGGCTACTGAAAAGTCACCCCGGCTCCACAGAGTTGGGAGTGACTATCAACTCAAGATTCTAAGCCTGACTTTCTCCACTTCRGTAACAGATTCAGATGAAGAGTGGAGGGTCCTAGGAAGAGACTGGGAGAGGAAGAGGAGGACGAGGAGGAGGAGGAGGAAGTATGTTCTGAGCCTGCGAAGTTTGAAGTGTTCATGAGACTATCACGTGCTCTTGTCTAGTAAGTAGAAGAAAATATTAGCACTTAGTGGAAAGTCAAGGCTTCAGTAACTATCCTCCTGAAGGACATGACTAAAGCRTTGTAAGTAGAAGCAATCACACAGGAAAGCGGTTGGGGAAAATGTCCAAGGAAGAACAGGCTGGCTGCGGGAAGAGCCAGGGGGCGGGAGAGTGAGCAGGTGATGAGGGAGACACAAAAGGAGCAGCCCGAGTGTGGAGGCGAGTACAGCACCAGGAAACCAAAAGGAGAATGCTGCTCCGGGAGACATGGGGGTGGGCCGTGACTGGTGATGCTTACATACTTTAAAAAAAAAAAAAAATCTTTTACAATGATCAGGTAGAACTTTTGTAAAAAAAAAAAAAAAGAAAGAAATCAGTTTTTGAGAAATTCTTTTCAATCAAGACAGGTAAATATCACAAAGATACAGGAAGATGAGGATGGGGGTGATACCACTTTTAATTATGAGGAAATTACATGCATCCACATTTCAGCAGAGCAGGGAAGCGGAGGAGGGTAGTCATGGAATCCAGGGGCCATGGAGGACTCTCAGCAAGGGACAGGCTGGTGGGATGATCCCTAGAGGAAGCAGGTCAGATGAAGGGATTTTTTTCATGAAGGATATTTTAGAGAAATGTTTGTTAAAGAAGAGAAGGGCAATAAAGAGGGAAAGTTTGAAGCTTCATGCAGAAGAGGAAGTCCTTGACTGAGCGGGGGGCATAGAGAGGGAGCAGGGCCAGGAGCACATATATTAGCCCTGAAAAACCAATAACAGAGGTCTTCCTTCCATTGCAGAGAAGTTGGGGGAAGTGTTAAGAAACAGAAAATAATGCTTAGAGATGCTGAAGGACTAGAGGGGAGTTGAGAGACGCTGGGTTGGATGTTCAAGGGATAACTGAGTTTAAGGGAGGTTTGAGAAGAGGTGTAAGAAGCAGAAAAGCAATCTATGCTTTTTCCACCAAATCAAGACTATTTTCATTCTTTTTTTTCCTAATTTGTTATATATAATAGCAGAATGCATTACAGTTCATGTTGCTCATATAGAGCACAATTTTTCATATCTCTGGTTGCATTCAAAGTATATTCACACCACTGGTGTCTTCATATGTGTACTTAGGGTAATGATATCCATCTCATTCCACCATCTTTCCCACCCACCTCCCATGCCTGGCTCCCTTCCCCTTTTACCCTTTGCCCTATCGTCAAATCCTTCCTTGCTCCCTCTCTCAACCCCAATATGAATCAGCCTCCTTATATCAGAGAAAGCATTCAGCATTTGGTTTYGGGGACTGGCTAACTTCACTTAGCATTATATTTTCCAAATCCATTCCAGCTATCCCTCTCCTCAGTCTATACCCAAAGGACTTAAAAAACAGCATACTATAAGGACACAGCCACATCAATATTTATTGCAGCACAATTCACAATAGCTAAATGGTGGAACCAACCTAGATGCCCTTCAGTAAATGAATGGATAAAGAAAATGTGGCATATATACACAATGGAATATTACTCAGTAATAAAAGAGAATAAAATCATGGCATTTGCAAGTAAATAGATGGAGCTGAAGAATCTTTTTATTCTTAAATATTAAGTCTCAGATAGAGATAGAGGAATTTGTCCATAGAAGAAATGTCAGTTGTTCCAATATGAACACAAAAGAAGTTACATTGGGCCCATGGGCCGTAACATTTACGGAGCTGACTAACAAAGCAAGCCATTGTGGAGGACATGGACATATATAAATCTTAGACTTCTAGCTCTCAGAAGGATCCTAGAAGGTCGTCTGAGAACATCCACCTCCAAGACAGCGCACACCACACCCATGCACAAGCGACACCATGCTCTGTGGAGAGCTCAGACACCAGGAACTCGTCCATGCTGRGAAAGAGATCTTCCCCCTGCGGTAGCAGAACAGGAGAAGTGTCGAGCAGGGAAAGCCCATCCACAAGATGCAGCCAGCGGGAACCCGAAGCTCCAAAGATCTTCTCCAGTTTGATGAGACACACAAAGTATCCCATCAGGTGTCCGGATCCTTGAATTCAGTTCCCAGAAGAAGAATTTTAAATACCAAGGGACTGGTCACAGGAAAAGTACAAGTTTCTTTGTCCCCTGAAYATATCAAGTCCCACGGAGAACATGGTGTTTATCAGTGACTCCAGCTCATAAATCAGGATCTTTGACCTCACCTCAAATCCTGTGTCCTTGAGGTCCTTCTTCTCAGCACTAAGTGTAGCAAAGAGGGAGAAAAGATCACATGTGGCAAAGAAAGAAGCTGTGTCCTGTTGCACGCAAGCCTTCTGCCCTGCTGCCCAGGACTTGGAGGTCTTTCTTCACTAACTGTAGTGCAACTCAGGATGCACACCCCCCACCTCAAGGAACAGCCCGTCTGTAGGGGTTGCAAAGAGCAGAATGATGGGTGGACTGCCCCCCACAGAGAAATCACTAYGGCCAGACCCAGTCCCTCAGTTCCTGAAATGGAAAACTACCAGCCGAACTGAGCACCAGGGACAGGAAGCAGGAGATGAAGAGAACGGCAAAGGAAAGGAGAGCAAGGAGAGCTTTGATGTGAGCCTGGGCTCAGACATCTTGAAATCCTGACAGGGTCGACAGGGTCTTCCTCGTGTGTCTTCCCAGGGACRTCAGAAGCAAACCATGGAAATTAAAGATGATTTCACAGGTGAAAGAAAGGAGGCCCCAAACTTTAAATGGGGTGAAGACTCCCCTGGAAGGTCACAAAAGAAGACCAGGTGTAAAAGATAACCAGAAAGATAGCAGTCAGGATGGTCCAAGTAGCCGTTTTTAAGGAGATGAAGTAGAATTTYTCATATGAGCTTCGTATGCTCTTCCCAGAGATGCTCCAAGACTGCCACTTGCTCCTTCAGTTGTTATCATTGATTTCTCAGTCGCCTATGAAAAATAGAAAGCTGCTCAAGCCGGGGAGTCCCAGAGAGCTGAACAGCATCCGTGGTACCCACCCAGGCACTTTGCACTTCAGCCAGAGGAAGGCAGGATGGGTAAAGGTTGCAATCTTCACACAATAGAAGAGACGGAGCTGGAGGACCCTAGGCTGACCAATAACCTATCACAAGGCAACGGTGTTCTCCATAGCAACCAACTGATTCCCAGTAGTGCAGTGATGAAGCTGTGGCCCATCACCACCACCAGGCRCAGAAGGAAGAAAATAATAACGATGATGATGACTTCCCTATGGGTCACCATACCCTTTGGAACCCTTTGATCTCCAGTCATTTCTCCTGTGGACAAGATGGGTCCCAAGATTTCAAGGGTTATTTCTGTTGGTTGGAAGGATGTCTAGGGTATGTTTGTATCTCCAGCTCCTCCAGTGCAGAGGTTAGACCAGAGTAGAGGATGCAGGCTCTCTGATGGGGGAGAAGAGAGGGGTTCTTCTCTCCAGACTAGATGCAAATGTGGTCAAGGCTAAATTTCCAGAATCTGACTGCCTGCCTATGAATTTGCCTGCTCTCCTGCCTTTCCCTGCCCACTGTCAACATCGGCACAGATAATATGTCAGGCCTTTGCATTGGTGTCCCTTACACAGGCTATATTTACCTAAGCTAACACCTGAGACATGACCACACACTTGCTGGCCGCTCAGTAATGGAATGCACAGGCTCACTTCCTACTGAGGGTCAGAGGAGACCATGGTCACATCCATGGAGGTGTGGTCGCTCCGTTCCAAGCAAGGCTACAAATGCCTCAGTAGTGTTTACCTCTCACAACAACGCGTGAACTGGGTGCTCCAAGAATACCCCTTGGATAGAGAAACAGAGAGAAAACTGAGCAAAACCTCTACTCARAAGTTAACAAGAATCTTTATTGCCTGAGAATCCTCCATCATAAAATAGAACATTGAAGACAATTGCATAAAACAAAGCAAACAAATGTTTTTCAATTCTTTAAACTATATTTTAAAATGGCATCTCAGGGAGGAGCCCTTACTGAGACAGCTATAAAACCAGTGGGATGTGACAGGGACAGCCTGGAGACTAAACAGGCTTCAGCCCAAGCCGCACCCCCAACTGTGAGTTCTTGGATATGCCAGTCACCCTTCTGTGCCTCATTGTGTGCATCTGTAAAATGTGAAAACTGGCTGTTATAATGCATAGGATTGTCTTAGAATCTCAGTATTTATCTATTTATTTATTTATTTAGTACCAAGTATTAAACCCAAGGGCCCTCAACCATTGAGCCACATCCCAGCTGTTTATATATTTAGAGACAGGGTCTTACTAAGTTGATTGAAGCTTCACTAAATGAGGCTGATTTTGAACTCACAATCTTCCTGCCTCAGCCTCCCAAGCCAGTGGGATTACAGTCATGCGCCACTGCGCCCAGTTAGAATCTCAGATTTTAGACTGCAAGAAATAAAGATAATTTCACAAGTGAAAGAAATGAGGCCCCAAACTTTAAATGGGGTGAAGACTCCCATTGAAAGTCACAAAAGAAGACCAGGTGTAAAAATGATTCCAAGTCTAGGGACCTTTGCCATAGTTAGCATTGTAACTTACAATCCTATCTTCTTCATCCTTAGCTGGAGGCAGAAGACCAGGTTTTGAGTCTTGTTATAATCACAGGCTATGGATTCACAGGGTCATCATTTAATTCCTTTAACCTCCTCTTTCTTCTCCTATTCAAAATATGGATCACAAAAAAAATGTGAGCATAAATATATGAAAGTTCTTTGAAAACTAGAAATCTCTGTACATGCATGAGACATAATTATGATGATGACTGTGACTTATTAGAATGACTATCTTCCATACATCCTGTAGTCTGACAAGTGGTCCCAGAAGGTTGAGGAAAGCATCAGGAATGCAGTGGAGGTGCTGGGTACCAGACGTTGGACCATTTACATTAACCAGAAGGGATGGAATAATTCAAGACTGTATTCTTCATAGGATTGAATATCAAAGAGTTAAAAAAAAATCAACAATCAACATCCAGATTAGTGCAAATAGTTTTAATATTTCACAGAAAACTAAGTGAGCAGACATTGTTCTAGATCTGTTGTAGCAACACAGAAGACTTAGGATCAAGTTTWAAAAAAAAGAATGAGGTGAGGGTGTGTTAATGGTATCCCCATCTCCTAGCCAGCACCATGCCTGCCAGTTCCATGAACGGAACCCCACAAAGAGGGACTGGAAGGAAGAACAGTTATTCTKCATGTCTTTCCATTTCCAGTCTCCCTCCAGGAGGAATTGTTTGTCCAACACAGGGACCAACTGTAGTGACACTGTGTTCCTGAGTGAAGGGAAGAAGGTACCACACTCTTGTGGAAATGCAAATTTCCATGGAACACAGTTCCCAGCTGCTTCTTCCTTGTCGTGGTTCCTCTGGCTGATATTTGGCTGTTTTCCAATGAAACTTGGAGAAATGAGGCAAAGTATGGGCTTATAACTCTGTGGTTTAAACAACCACTAACTTCTCAATATGGAAAACTCATATCTTTTCCATCCACCTCCTACCCCTTCAATGGCTCCTACCATGAGAAAGATGTGCAGTTATCCCTCAATTCACTTAGCAACAATTTTTTAACCATCTCCCATGTCACATAACTCCATGAAAAGCACTGGGCACTGGGGCTGCAACACTGAATTACACATTTGCCCTGAAAGCTCTCTTTGCACTAATCCTAAACCACAAACACTTCCTGGGCAATTAAATGAACCCCAAGCAGTGAACAGTCATTTTCATTTAAAGTGTTTTATGATTTTTATTGTGATTTTATTTTAATTTTTTTATTGTGGTGAGTTTTTGTCTGTGGCATTTTGCTTCTAAAATTTACATTATTTTCTTTAGTAGAATCCAAATCTGAGAATTTAAMATTTTTCAGAGTCTTTACAAATGTAATCACGAGCATGGTAGCATAAGAATCTAGAGCAGGTTGTCTAGCTGGGAAATTCTCAATTCAGAAAGATTTCTGTCAGAATAATTTTTTTTTAAAAGATTGATCCAAACACATGCTGTGGTTCTAAATATCATTCACCCTCCCAGGCTTAGGGTACAGCTCAGTGCTAGAGTGCTTACCTAACAAGGGTGAAGCCCTGGGTTCAATCCCAGCACCAAAAAAAAAAAAAAAAAGAAAAAAGAAGTTTCTAAACATTGTGCATGCTCCTATTCTCATCCCAAGGATTCTCCAAATAGTTCAGCAGCAGCAGCAGAAGAAGMAGCTCCATTGTTGTAGGACAAGAAAGCTGCTTTCTTACACGTTGGCAGAGGACAAAGCATCAGGAAAGGCGGTGGAAATGCGCTTATGTCAAGAATGGTTAGGTAAGGTTGGGTACCAGAGGGGATTCACAGAAGGGAAGGTGGCACATTGATCTGGAAAGATAGGCTGGAGAGAGACCAGAGAAAGCCAGGCCAGTCAGGATGAGACACTGGACCTTTTCTTTCATCAAGGTGAAGCCACCAAACACTGTTAATGCTCAGGAGTTAGAGTTTAGGAAAGGAGGCTGAGAATACCAACCCATGAAGAACTCTAAATAGAAGCCCTGGCACAACTCAAGGGGTGTGAAAATGCGGCAGAATTTGAGTCAGATCATCAGGCCCTTTCCACCGGAGACCTTCAGGAAAGGGCTTCAGAGATGCCCAAAGACAGACAGTCTTCCAAAAGCTCACAGCTGAAGAGAGGGGATGGAGCAGTCACCCTGATGCTCCTGCCTCTGCTGCCCCCACCCAGCCCTCTGTGTTGCTGCAAAATGAGTTTTAAAAGAAAAGCCCTTTGTGCTTGATGATGAGGCTACTGTGTGTTCAGTTGGTGGCCCAATTCAGTTAGACCCACAGGTTCTAGAATATGAGTCTGGCCATAGCACCAGCTTCCCACAAGGCCCCTCTGCTCTGCCTCTCGTCCCTACTCTCTGTGCTATTTGCCAACAACATAAAAACTCCTCTTTTAAAGCTTTAATTACCATTTTCCTAGAGAAAATTAATCAGTCTGCTCTCCCTTCTCTGGGCATCCCTCTCTCTCCTGCTATAGCTTGGACTCTAGCTAACATTGAAACGTAATTTTTTTTTTGGGGGGGGGTCTCAGCTTCCCAGGATTGTTGGACAAGTTTACCATACAATGAAGTTATTTATTTGAAATTCATTGTAACTCCCTTTCTGTCATGTTATTTATTAATTACTCCTCGTCTGACGAGTTCAAAYGTATGCAAATTTATTATTAATTATATCCATGTACTACTTTGTTTACCTCCTAAGATACACAGAATAATAGGAATTTGAAGAAGATAAACAGTAAATGGATATTGAAGTTGATGATTTTCTTCATACTCTCAGTGGACAAGCTCTGTCTGGAGATTAGCCTCCTAGGCAATAGCTTCCAGGAGGCACCTCTTTGGTAACAGCCGGGAAGAACAGAATTATCAAAATTAAGACTTGTTTGAGAATTCCCTTCATTTTCCATCTATCTTCTGTTGACCAAACCCTAAAAACATTTCCACGTCAGACAGTTCCTTTTAATGCAGCATGCAGCCAACACATGAAATCATGTGGTATGTTAGCACAAGGAGCTTATGGGTCCGCTGAAGAAGCACAAAGCTCTTCTGAGTCCTCATCCTTCCAGGGGATCAAACTGAGAAAGCTTCCCGGGTAGAATCAGTCTTTAGGACACAAAAGATGGGAATGGCAAAGATTGGCAGAGAAAGGAAAGAAGGGAGGAAGAAAGAAACATGAGGGACGTTTCAATTCTCTGGTGGGCCAAGGGATAAATGGTGGAAGGGAAGGAGATGTGGGAGATGGAAAGAAGCTGTACTGCAGAGAGACTGAGATGGGGAGGTGAGGAGGCAGCTGGTGTCACAAGGGGGGGGTGGTGTTGGGAATCCAGGCCACTAAAMAACAACTTTTGTTTGCCTATGGAGACCATTGATGATGGGTACAAGTCTTCACAAAGGGAGTGTAGCTTGCAGAATGTTCTTAGGTTGCTTGCACAGAGAGTCTGACAGGCCTGTGAGGAAATGAGGCCATCAGCTACGGCCAAAGGGATTTGGGACTCAGATTAGGGTTTAGCCACAGTGAAGGAGACAGGGGGAGCACAGAGAGATGGAAAAAGATTTAGTGGGACATGCAAAGAGTGGGTTGTGGGGAGAAGAAGAACTGAAAAGAGAAAGTACCCAAACCTTCTCAAGTCTTGCCACGTGGGACTGTTCACCACGGTACTGGTTCCAGATGTGGGTAACTTAAGACCCAAATCACCCTTTGTTCAGGGCCTTCAAAACCTACGAAGTGGCAGCACACAGGTCTGAAAACTTCGTCTTCAGGGCCTTTCTCAGCTTGGAGCTGCTTAGCACCAAGATGAGGGAGTGCAGGTAGATGCTTGCGTAGGTTAGCACTTCCCTGACCCAATACCAGTGACTCTGGATGGTTGTGATTTTCATAGCAGAAATGATCAGGGACAGGAAATACGCCATATAGATGATAAAGAAGAAGGCAAGGGACTTCAGAGCCATGCTGTGAGCCTGGATGCTGGGATCKCCAGGCCCAGGCCTGCCGT